CTGCTGAAACTGGATTTCACAAGGACGCGATAGGCCTGGGAGAAGTTTCAGGAGCCTGAGTAAAGTTGTTCATACGAAGAATGCTTGTATTAGTCTAATATCAGTCTACAGTTGAAGAAATTTAGGAATAAAAAGGCTGGATAACTTGCCCAAGATCAAACAATAATGGCAAGAGTTCAGGGCAAGAGTTCTGTTCACAGACGGGGCCTGTGCGGTTGGAACTTGAAGCCAGCGCAGAGGAGGGCGCCCTGACTTTCCCCTCAGCTTGTCCCTCAGCCTGTCCCGGGTGGAGGCAGGGAAGGGGGAGGGGGCTTAAGCTGCAGCAAATACCAAACGATGCGGAGTCTGACTGCTCATTGCAGAGACAAACATGGGCAAGAAAAGCAGGCATTTGCAATCACTTGTTTTTATATAAAGAAACGCTAAGGAAGTTCAATAAATGATCAAAACTGTGTACTTGGGGGTGGCTGGACTAACAGCACTGGAGGGGCCAAGATATGTGGGCAGTGAGTCTTCTTAAGTCAGACTTTTCTATCTTCTACACTTATTGAAAATAAACACAAAAATTTACATATACCATGTTTTACTATCTACTAGTCTTTCTTGAATTTTAACTTTTGCACATAGGAAACCATTCTAAGACTTATTTCCTTTAAACACTAACAGCTACAAAAGTATAAATCATACAAAATTAAATTTTTCAAATCTCTTGTTAACTAAGGGATAAATTGCATCCCAGGTTGTCCTTCCCCTATGTCTCAGAGTGGGGAGTAGTTTCAGAAATAAGTCGCATATCATGACGCAATAGGCATTTGGGTTTAGTCCCTTAAAAATAGCAGGATTTTAAAGATCTACACAAGCTTTGTTCAGTTTTCCTCACATCAGTTAAAATAGGAATTGGATTATTTTAGACTTTTAAATTTCAGTGTTCTCCAGGGACACCCATATACATACTGGTGTAAAAATGAAAAGTGGACTCAAGAGCTTAAACACATTTATCTTACATCCCAAGGTTATCTTGTCTAAAAGGAAGAAAAATTGTATTTACTACAACAGTTTCTTTGCCTTAATGCCATCACATTTCTCAACCAACTTACATTTTTAAGCTCAAGAAGCTAAATATATTATTTCTCACACAGGGAATTAAATGACGTGCTCAGGGAACTAGAGGCAAAGGGCTGCACTGTTTCGTCGGTAAAGGATCCACAGGAAACACAAGTACTGGAACCAGCTCAGATGAGCAGCACGCTTCCCAGGGGACAGAGAGAAAGCCATTTTCCATAGGTTCCACATTCCAAACTCTCCAGCTGAGAGAGAACCCCTGCAGTGGGTCAGTCCCTGGGAAAGCGGGGCAGGGACACCTGAGCAGCCCCAGGAATGAACTCTGGGCCCTCCACATCTCCCTCCCTTCTCCTGTAAGCATGGAAGCGTCCCTTCCCCCAGACTTGTCTCACAGTGAGGAGAGTCTCAGCGGGATGCAGCTTAGGGTTCTGACCCAAATGAATTCCCAGTTCACAAACCCTAATACAGGACACATACTCCAGACTTTCACAGACTTTCTCCATGTGCACAAATTACACTCTGAGAGCATCTATGCTGTGTATGCAAAACTCTTACCTGTGTCTACAAACAAGCCCAGGGAAACCACAAAAAAAATCTCAGAAGCTGTGTCAACACCCCTCCCCCAGGTGCAGCTGTGCCCCCAGCTTTCCAGGGCTGTGGCTTCTCCCAGTGTAAAGCCTCCTCCATGGTGAATGTGAACAGGAAGGACACCTGCAGAGGGAGGCTCCCCAGGGAGAACCACTGGGCCTTCTACTGCTTCCTTTTGCAGGTCAAGGGGGCCTTAGCTTGGGTCACTGACCACAGGACTCTGACTAGTCACATTGTTTTGGACCACGTGGATATTTTAAATGACTCAAACCTGGTGTCAAGGAACCCAGCAAATTCATACAACACCAACATCTATGTGTAGAAGAATTAAGAAAACTGTAAGTCATCTTTCTAGTTCAATAAGAAAAATTACATTTTATTACTTTCAGAAAATAATGATATTATTATATCCATGGCAGGAAAACAATTTTAAAATAATTAAGCATACTTGAACACTTCTGATGTTCAAGTCTAAGCCTTGGAATTCCATTTGAAATCACCCCTCCTACCCCCAAAGTAAAAATGAAGACGAGACCTGAGAATATTACTATTCCTGCTCGGGGGAGGAAAATAAGAAACAAGAAATTTTAGCACATGCAATGTAATACTGTTCTATTTAATTTTTTTCTGATATTTATCTCATGCCTCTTTGGAAATATTTATACTGCCTTTGAAGATCTATTGATCAAATACATTTCACATTTATTGAAAAATGGAGACCAAAAAACAAGTAAATAAATCTTTTCAAGGTGGCAAACCCAGGGAGAAGCAGCGCTGACACCCAGAAAAGTTTCAAAGAGGAGCCTCCACGCAAAGGACTTCCCATAGGACGTCTGTGCCCGGGGAAGGTTCTGGGGGAGAGGAACAGGGATTTCATGAAAGTATTTCAGGTGGTTATTCTCGGCTTTCCTCTACTGTAAAATAACTACACACAAAATAGAAATCTTTAAAATGAGCCATCCATTGAATGCGGGAAAATGATAATTAACAGACTAAATCTGTTAGAAATACACGCGGGAAGAGAAACGGCTGATGATTCTGTGAATCGGAGACCGCAAAGTGGCATTTGAGAATGCAAGCAGAAATCTGAAAATTGATGGATTTCTCGCCAGTCCCAGGAAAAGCTAGCTGCGGGGACAGGCCGTGGATTTGAGACCCAGATTTTCACATTTCGAACTGAGGAGTAAACAAGTCCCACTGAAGACAAAGGAGGGACTGGGGACCCCACAAACCATAGCTCCTCCCACGCACCAACTCCACAGAACGAGTCACAATTGTCGTCCGATGACCCAACTCCTTGGTCACCGCACCATCTGGGGAGACGCGGGGCTGTGGGCGCAGAGCTGCCCAGTGAGTCTCAGGTAACGGGACCGAAGTCGTCGCGCGCAGTGACGGGACAGGACACCCAGGGTCTTAACTGCCGGCCCAGCCCCCACGCCGTGTGGCGGAGGGGACTAAGGTCCCAGCGAAGCCCCCAGGGGAATCAGGTCCGCAGACTCCTACTTGGCCGCGGGGAGGCCGGTCCGCCACAGCCGGTTCCAACCGGTTCCAACCATCCCTTGTCCTTCTCTTGGGACACCCTGCACCGCACACTCACCATTTCCCAGTTTATAGGGTCCCCTGGCCAAATCCCTGGGGCTCCCGTGGCGGTTGCAAGTCACAATGGCATTGATGCTGCCGCAGAGACACCTAGGGATATTATGCGCAGCTGAGACACAAACTCCAACGCAGCAAGAACTGTCCACGCGGTTTGCGGAGCATCCCCGCCCTTCTGCGACTCTGATTGGACAGTTTGCAATGACCCGCCTCCATTCTTTCTGAGCGACAACCAGGGTAGGAAGGCAGATGGCTTAACAGAACAAGCTTCCATTGGTGGGTAGACCTTGCACCCTAAAAGGATATATGCTTTTAAACAAAACTTGTTCATGGTCCTAGAGGGACAATGGTGTCTTCCTGCCCCTCTTGCTGAACGCGGGACACAGGTGTGAGAAGGGGATTTCAGTCAGTTTCCAAACAGAGCGATGCCCTTGTCCTGAGCAAGAGGGGCACCCAGGCCAGACCAGACTGGGACCAGGGGATCTGAGGTCTTTCCTGGGTCAAGGGCTGGCACAGGCTGCGAGGACACTCATGGAACTGTGACCCTTGTTTACAAGCCCATTGAAAAACGATCTCACCATGTGTAATAAAGAGTTTGGCTCCATTTTGAAATTTGCTGACAGCGTTGAAGCTTCCACCCATCCTTTCTCCACCTTCCAGCTCGTGGTGATTCTGAATAACACAATTAGCCTTCATGTACAAGATTTTATTTTGACATATATTTTTCTTTCTTTGGGCATATACCCAGGAGAGAATTGCTGGGTCCTCTGATAATTCTAGGTTTAATGTGTGAAGAACTGCCAGACTGTTAAGTGACTGCGGCATCATTTCATATTCCCACCAGCAATGGGGGTGGGGGAGTGTGTGTCCCGATTTCTCTGTATCCTCCACAACATCAGTTATTATTTCACTTTTTGATCCCAACCATCTTGGTGGTTGTGACCTGGTATCTCACTGGGGTTTTGACGTGGATTTCCTCGATGACTAATGATTTCTAGCATCTTTTCATGTGTTGTTCTTGCCCATTTGAACATCTTCCTTGGAAAAAAATGTCTTTTTACATCCTTTGACACTTTAAAATTGGGTTATTTGATTTTTTTTATCATTGAGTTGTAAGAGTTCTTTAGATTTTTTTTTATAGAAATCCCTTATCAGATATGACTTGCAAAATTTTCTTTCATTCTTTGGTTTGTGTTTTCTCTTGCTTTTAACATTTTTAGTGTTAATTGTGGTAATATACACATACTATTCCATTTACACCTTAAGTGTACATACAGTTCAATAATGAGAAGTACAATGACATTGGGAAACCTATCTCAGAACTGTTTTCGTCTTTGAAAGCTGTATATCTTTACACATTAAACAACCTCTCCCATTCCCCTCTGCCCCCAGCCCTGACAACCAGCCTACCTTCTGTATCAATGAATTTCACTATTTTAGGACCTCATACAAATGGATTCATACAGTAGTTGTCCTTTCCTGAATGGCTTATTTCACTTAGCATAATGTCCTCAAGATTCACCCATGTTGCAGCATGTCACAGTTTCCTTTCTTTCTAAATCTGAGTAATATTCCATTGTATATATACACTAAGTTTTGTTGATTCATTCATTCACTTATGACCACGTGGATTGCTTCCACCCTTTGGCTCTCATCAATAATGCTCCTATGAACACGAATGTAGAACTATCCCCTTCAGTCCCTGAATTCAAGTTTTGGGGGTATATACCCAGAAGCTGGTTTGCTGGATCACATGGTAACCCTGAATTTTTTTCTTCTGCTGTGAAGAATATTATGTTGCCTTTAAAGCAGTAAGTATAGTTACATGGACTGGTTAGTCCCACTGGTGGAACATCAGAACTCCATATCCATGGGAGTGGACTCAACGTTCACCTCATCATTGTTATTGTCATTAAAGACACAATCAAGCCAATTTCTGATTAAAACATTTAAGTGATATCTCATAGCTGAGGCCCTAATCAATGCATATTCTAGTATTACATACCTCCAGAATTTAGTTTGCTCACTTTTAGCCATCTCATTTAAATATGCACATAAGAGAGTTGGTTGCTAATTTAGCTAACTGTCCTTTGAATTTAAGAATTTTATAATCAACGAATTAAACTTAATAATACAAATACTAAAGCACATTACATTAAAATTGTGATCATCTGGGCTCAGAGAAATCAAATAAAATATTTAGAGTTGCCACTTTATGACATCTTACAACGAGTTTTTTTCTTACTTTGGAGAAGATATATAGGAAATATTTAGTACAATTACACCTAATGATACACAGATATTTGAAATGTAGGCTTTTACATAACTCTATACCTTAAGAAAAAGAAACATAACCTAAAGTTAGCAGAAAAAAGAGGAATAGGAATGATCAGAGCAGAAATGAAATAGAGACTAAAAAGACGATAAAACAGATCAATAAATCTAAGCTGGTTCTTTGAAAAGATAAGCAAAATTGGCAAATCTTTAGCTAGACTCACACACACAAAAAAAGAGAACTCAAATAAATAAAATCAGAAGTGAAAGAAGAGATGTAATAACATACTACAGAAATATAAATGTTCATAAGAGATTACTGTGAGCAATTATATGTCTACAAATGGACTATGTAGTAAAATGGATAAATTCCTAGATTCATACAACCTACTAAGACTCATGAAAAAATAAAAAATCTGAACAGTGTATTTACTAGTAAAGTCATTAAACCAGTAATCAAAAACCTCCCCGAAAGCAAAAGTCCAGGTCCAAATGGTGAATTCTACCAAAAATTGCAAGAAGAATTTATACCTATCCTTCTCAAATTCTTCGAAGAAATAAAAGAGGAGGAAACTTTTCTACACTCAAGTTATGAGGCCATCATTTCACTAATAACAAAACCAGAGAATGCCACCAGAAAAAAATTACAGGCTAATACTCTTGATAAATATAGATGCAAAAATCCTTAATAAAACATTAGCAAATCAAATTAAATAGTACATTAAAAGAATCATAAACCATGATCAAGTGGGATATTTTAGGGGTAAAAGGATGGTTCAACATTTGCAAATCGGTCCACGCACTATACCATATTAACATAATGAAGGATAAAAAGCATGATCATCTCAATAGATGCAGAAAAAGCATGTGACAAAATTCAACACCATTTATGATAAAAATTCTCAACTAAGTGGGTATAGAGGGAACACACCTCAACATAATAAAGGCTATAGATGACAAACCCATAGCTAACATCATACTCAATGGTGAAAAGCTGAAAAATTTCCAAGATCAAAAAGAAGACATGGATACCCACTCCAACCACTTTTATATAACATAGTATTAGAATAGAAGTCCTAGCCATAGCAATCAAACAATAGAAATAAAAGCCATCCAAATAGGAGGGGATTAGTAAAACTGTCACTATTTGCCAATGACATCATACTATATATAGAAAACCCTAAAACCTCCAACACAAAACTGTTAAAACTTATAAGCAACTTCAATAAACTTGCAGGATACAGAATCAAAATGCAAAAATCGGTTGTGTTTCTATACACTAATAGCAAACTATCAGAAAGAAAAATTAAGAAAACAATTATATTTGCAGTTCCAATAAAAAAATTAAAATACTTAGGAACATATCTGACCAAAGAGATAAAGAACTGTATCCTGAAAACTACAAGACATTGATGAAAAAAAAATTAAGAAGATGCAAAGAAATGAGCAGGTATTCAGGGCTCATGAACTGGAAGAATTGATATTGTTAAAATCTCCATACCGCCCAAAGCAATCTACAGATTCAGTGCAATCCCTATCAATCTTCCAATGAAATTCTTCACATAAATAGAACAAATAATCCCAATATTTTTATGGAACCACACAAAATATCAAAGCAACTTTGACAAAAAAAAAGAACGAAGAGGAATGCATCACACTCCCTGATTTCAAACTATATTACAAAGTTGTACTAATCAAAAAGGATATGGTATTGGATTAGAACACACACACAGATCAATGGGACAAAATAGAGAGCCCAGAAATAAACCCATACATACATGGCTAATTAATTTATGACTAAAGAGCCAAGATTATACAATAGTCCAAAGAAAGCCTATTCTAATAAATGATGTTGGAAAAACTGGACAGACACATGCAAAAGAATGAAACGACCACTATCTTACACCATCCACAAAAATAAGCTCAAAAAGTATTAAAGACTTGAATGTAAGACCTGAAACCAATTAACTCCTAGAAGAAATCATAGGCCATAAGATCCCTGACAAAGGTCATGGTGATGACTTTCTGAACCTGACATCAAAATCAAAGGCAACAACAGCAAAAATAAACAAGTGGGACCTCCTCAAACTAAAAGCTTCTTCATAGAAAAGGAAACCATCAACAAAATAAAAATGTAACCTACTGAATGAGAGAAAGTATTTGCAAAGATATATCTGAATTATAGTTAATATCTAAAACATAAAGAACTTGTACAACTTAATAGCAAATAAAGAAAAACTCTGATTTAAAAATGGGCAGAAGATCTGAATAGAGAAAGTCAAGTCTAAGAGGGTGAGAATTAAGGAAAGTCTTTACAGAAAAAGTGAATAATAGCAAAGGTAATGTCTGTATTAGCAAAGACATGTCTTTTAGAAGTATGAGAATTTATATCATTATAATGCTTTTGATGGCAAAGACCCATCTAAAAGTGGCTTAATGTAAAAATTGTCATCTTTTATAAAAAGATTGGAGGTAGAATCAGTCCAGAATTAATTCAGTGGCTTGAGGACATCACAAAGAACAGAGTTTCTCTTCTCTTTCTGCTCTGCTCTTCTGAGTTAGCTTTTGTCCCTGAGTTCTTCCCCTAGAAGATTTAGAGTATCACACTTCCCAAAGCATCAATCAACAGTAGGAACAGAGGGAAATTCCTGTCTTGTCTCCTTATGAGATTGTCTCTCTGGCTCAAAGGGTCATAGACTTATGTTAAAGTGATCTCTGGCCAGAAGAGAGGCTAGAAGAGAGAAACACATGTTGGGCTTAGATTGATGGATTCATCCCTGGGAACTGTGAAGAGGCCCGGTGCCCCAGGCCCAACCCCAAGCATTCCTATGTTATACAGAGGAAGCAACAAATTCAGTTGCTGTTTGTT